AGTAGGACTTCAAGTCATACATCTCTATCCTACTTCTCATGGAAAGATTAATTGAAAATGATGCAAGAATGAGGAATAAAAATAAAGTTACGATGATACCTAACGGAGAAGGTCTGCTGCCTCTTCAAAGCCACGCAAGGAATAACAAAAATATACCGAACGCTTCCTTGAATTTACTTGATCAAAATTATGCTCTTAGCTATCTTATAAACATCTTGAGACTTTTCAACTAAGTCTCAACGATATCACACAAAACTGGTACTAAAATATACCAAATAATCATGGCACAAGTAGCAAAAAGTATCAAAATTAATCATGACATAAACACTAGAAACTCTAATTAGTTTCTAAAGAAAAATTTCTAAAATCAAATAGAATCTTTATACTAGTTTTTTCATGCATTTTTATCATCATAAATCAATCATAAAAATTCTAAACCAAAATTTAAAGGGGAAACAATTAAAATTCTAAATAGGGGAAAGTGTGAATTTGAATCCAGGAGTTTGACTCAGAAATGGTGCACCAAGCCCCATCAGATTGAGTCCAAGAGAAGTTTTTATTCACAAACACTATTATATACTAAAAATGGTAGTGGTGGACATAGAAAAAAATGCAAGGCCTAGTGACTCAAAAGGCCCAATAGACTCACATTCATGTCCATTATCATCAATTATCATTCATATTTTATTATCAATTATTAATTTATGCAATTAAAAGAATAAAAAGTGAAACATGGGAGAATGAGGATACAATGTCTTTTGGTGAAGACGCTAGGTGTAATACGGTAGGAGAACTGACTTGGGTGTTTTGCATTTTATTGCAAATGTTGCAGATAGCAAGAGTCGCCACTGACTTTTCTTTTATCCAATAAAGGAAAGGGTGAAAAGAACAGGAAATACCTTTTGAGAATTTTCTTGAGTTAGGGGGGTTGTTTATGAAAAGGGAAGATGTTAGAACCCTTTTCATTTGTAGTTATCTACGGGCTCTTAGTTGCTAGCTCACTTTTGAAATAATTTTGTGAATTTATTTGTTTGAAAATATTTTGAAAAGGGTCGTCATTGGGAAAACTTTGTAATGATTCTCATCTCTATAAGAATGCATACAAAGTGTTGACTTTGAAAATATTTCAAGAAAGTGTTGGTGTGTTGAAAGATGTTTGTTTTGAAATGTTTGTGAGCAAGCAACTACGAGTGTTCTCCCTACTCAAAAGAAAGTCTTTGTTATTTTCATCCTGCTATAGATAGTGCTATTCTACTATTAGTTAGTATGAAGCCTTATTATTGGATGTGAGGGACAGGCGTGGGTCATCGTACAGTCATAGAAGGCAATAGGTAGGACACTTTAGCAATTGTTGTAATGGTCTACGATCGTTTTTCCGAAGGCAACATCGAAGGGTCATCGAGGGACTACGATCTTTTAATCGAGGGTCTTTGCTAAAGTATCCCACGTCCGAGGGACATGACTGTTTATATCTGAGGAAAAAAGTGTGGGTTACCCTAGAGGTGCATGTGTGCAAAGTGTTTTTGTTTTCATGTATTTTATCTTGAATTAGGGTTGTCTAATGTTCGATTTTAAATCTTGTCACATAAACCCTAATTACAAACAATAAAAAGGAAAATGATAAATTGCGGAATTTAAATGTCCTACGCTATTACAATGCTTTGGGAATATGGGGTACAAATTTGTGAATGAGGGGAGGAAAGCAATAAAGCCCTAATTACTATTACAAATCATTGAATATGAATAATAATATGAAATGATAAAATGCGCAAATAATGTAAAGTAGAGGAAAGAAAGAGGAATTTGTTTTTGTGGTTTTTTTGATGGAAAGGATTTTATGTTCAACGTAATTAATCTAATTAATTTACAAGAGAAGTTTTAATTAATTATTTAATAAAACCTAAAGTCTAAGTTAATTTAAAAAGTAAATTAAATAAACCTAAGTCTAATTTAATTTTAATTCTAAAAAGAAAAGATTAATAAATTAAGAAAATATTTTTGGTGTTTTATTTATAAAAATAAATAAAGTAAACATAAAATAAAAATTAGAAAATTTTAGTCTAATTATTTAAGAAAATATATTTTTTGGATTTTTGATTAAATAAAATAAGTTAATAAAAAGAAAGAAAATAAAAATAAAAATAAATAAATATTGGGTTTGAGTGTTAAAAAGTAAAAGGGGGTGTGGGAAAGTATTTTTGGTCCAGGTCCAAAAAGCTTTTTATTGTTTGAAATCAGAAAATTAAAAAAAAAGAAATGGGCTTGGTTGTAATAAGAAAATTAGGGGCGTTTAGAAACAGAAGTTGCTAGGCCCAAACATCTCAAGCCCAGGCGCTGCGGGATTTAGTGTGAATGGTTTTTTGAGGGTACCACTGGGGCTCGAATCCAGGTCCCTATAGACAAGTGACTTAGCATGCACGTTGTTTACCATTGGGGTGGTTGTTTCATCCGTTCATAAAATAACAACCAATAAATATAATATGAACTTAGTTGTCAAAATTTGGAAATGCCATTTTTATCTTCTTCTTCTTGCTGCACATTATTATAGTAACAATGATATATGATTTCCAATTTTCAAAAACTCTAACTTCCTCATTTCTTAACCAAATTCAAAAATGTAAAAATGAAACTTGCTTAGAATTTTGCAAGGAATCTAATGGTATAATTTTCTAAAGCTATAAGATTTTCATGAATTTCTATTGGTACCAAATGAAAACCTAAATGTCCAAAAAAATCAATTTCAAAATTCTCATCGCTCAGTCAATTAAAATGATATTTAAGGATATGGTTAGCTTCATAGAAATGATATCTACATTTTATCTTTTAAAAGTAAGTGAAAATGATGCTCGTATCAAGATTTCAAAGATGGAAAAACTTACCTCTTAATGCACAAATTCAATGTCCTCTACACAACTTCCAGAAGTAATGTGATGCTTGCTTTAGCTTCCTTGGACCTTGGTGAGTATGTTGCAACTCTTACTTTGCCTTGAGAGTTTCTGGATTGGTCTACTCAAGTCAAGTTGCAATGCTGGATTTTGAAAATGGTGTATGATGATTGAGTGATTACAAAAGTGAAACAAGTGTTTGGATCAGTTCTATATGGTGTATAGAAAGTGTTTGGATGATTTGTTTGGACAAAAGTTGCAAGTGTAATGAGTTTCAAAGAAATGGATTTTGAAAACTCAAGAAATGAGTTTTATGGTCAATTCAGGTTTGAGAGTGTATGAGAGGGTTTAAAGGCTAGTAAATTCGGCTTATAGCTTGTTAATAACCTTTCTATTTATAGAGAAAGGGTTTGGGAGGTTGAAACAACCAGCTTTGTAAGATAGCAAATTATGGAGTTATGACTTAGTTGAAATGCAAAAGTGAGAAAGTTACATGAAGCTCATGGTTTCAATGCATCAATAGGGTGGTTGGTAGGCTTAGAGATGTTGCTTCTGAGCATACATATTGAGTTTGTACAGAGGGAGCAAGTGAGAGGCTCAAGAAGTTGACATTGTGTATAAAGCTTGCTTTATGTGAATGGCAATGGTGCCTTTCTTCTAAAAATGGCAAAATGGATTGGATAATGCTTTAACCACTTGGATCATAGCTCAAAAGTTTGTGTAAACATTTAATTATGGTGAGATTTGCAAGTTAGAAGGCCTGCAAAGCAAGACTATACAGCATAGCATGAAGATTAGATTATGTGTTCATCATCAAAGTGGCCTATGATTCAAGTTTATCATGGAAACTTCAAGTCTTCGAATCTCCTAGCTCAAAAATGATATATTCAAGTTCTTTGACATTTTGGAAAGCTTGAAATATTATCTACAACTTTCATATTGACCACTTTGGCTAAATAAACTTGGAACTTGGTGAAAAATTTCCAAGAAGTTGGGATAAAAATCAGACCAAACTTGTTGAAAATTTCACTAAGTGTTTTAGTAAAAATGCCATGACTTCATGGGCCTATATCTCCTAATCCAAGCATTTTTTGGAGATCAACCCTTTAATACAAAGTTGTAGAATTCATCAAGATCTACAACTTTCATGTTGAAAGTTTTCCTTTAATACTAAGTATTGAAAATCTTGGCTTTTTGTTGAATTTCTTGATTCTTGATGATCAAGTTTGATTTTTTTTTAATGTATTGATGAATATTGATCTTTGAAATTCAATGTTGATCAAAAAGTCAAAGTTTGACTTTTTGTGTATTAGTTGACTTTTCATCAATTGATCAAATTTCAACTATCAATCCCTTGATCTTGAGAAATGATTTGAGCCATAAAATTAGGTAAAGATATTGTGTTTGAATCCTTAAGATCATGCTTCAAGTCATTAGGCCATGTACTAGGTCAAAAGTCAATGATCAGTCATTCTCAATCAAAACCCTAATTTTGAAAAAATTTCCCCTTTGATGATTTGAATGCATTTATTGAGTAATTGTGATTAACCCTTGAGAAATTGATGAATATAACTTAAAAATGTTGATGTTGGCCAAAAGTCTTGAAGTTTGACTATAGGTTGACCATAATTGACTTTTTAACCAATAAAGTTAATTTTCAGTTATCTGAGCAATTGACTGCAATTTTGAGATGTAAGACTTGAAACTTGGCATGAGTATTATTGGAGGTCTATGATGAACCATGAAAGTCATTTGAGGAATCAGAAGTCCAATTTTCCTTGTGAAAATCAAAACCCTAATTTTGTGGTCTCAGTACTTAGGAGGTGAGTTTGTCTGATCAACTCTTGAGAACCCTTGAGCATTTGAGATATTTTGTGAGAAATGTCTTGAGAAAAGAGAGGGAAAATTTTGGGGTACAACACTAGGGTTGAATATAAAATAGTTGTTGAGCTTCTGTTGCAAGCACAGAGCCTTCTTCTTCCTCCTTTCGCTTTTGCGAATGGCGCGATTCCCAGCTCTTTTGCTGCCGCGATTTAAAGCTCTTCCGCTGAAGTTCCACTCTTCACTGCTTCTTCTCTAATTATTATCAACCTATTCACCTATCTCCAATCGATTATGAGAAACCACTCTTCTTCCTCAGTTCAAGCGCGCCGCAACTTCTCACATCATCACCTCCAAAGATTCCTCCACCGTAGCCTTAAAGCTCCATTTGTCTCAGCTCCGCCTGCTCTGTTATCAAGGTATACAAACTCTTGTCTCAATTTTCTTCTACTTTATGCATTCGATTACATGGGCGTTTTCAATTTCAAACTTCTTCTTCTTCTTCTTCCTCTTCTTCATTTTTGCATTTCATTTCCTAAGATTTTAGCATTGTTGTTGATGCAGAGATCATGAAGAGTATGGCAGACGAAGATGATGCTGCTACAACAAAGTTGCAAAAGAACTTGAAATGAAAAATTCAGAGAAGATGCTGGGAAATTCTTCATAGATTTTTCTTTATGGTTTCTGCAAAATGAATCGGGTTCTTAGTGGTGATGAGGAGCGTGAGTGAAGGGACCTTTTCTGGTGAGTCTTCTCTGTGAGTTTGTATTGTCAATGTGAATGAAATCGTGAAAATTCTATTATATCAGCAGGAAATTTTGTTAGAGTTTAAACAAATCATAACCTTTGAATCTGAAAGTTGGTTAAAGAAATCCTACGGATGAGATTAATCGATGTTGAGTTGTAATTATTTTTTTTCTTCCTTTTGCTGATAATTTTATTTTAAGCTGAACCTCTTATTTCTACTTCATTTTTCTGGGTTTAATATTTTGCTGCTTTGGTTATTTGGTTATGTATTATTCAGGTTTTCCTTATTAAAGTGCCAATTCTCTTTTTCTTCTTTTTAATGATTTTGATGTTATGGCACAGATGTTGGGCACAATTTATGGATTATATTGAGCATTGGTTGTGGATAGTGGTATCGTTATAACTTGTACAACTGATTTTTTCCATGTGGTGATGCCTAATTCGTTCCATCATAATACAGCAGGGTCGATTCGATTGTTTGGATTTGGACACATGAAGTCTTGAGGACAACTTTGTGTTGGTTTCATGTGATTCTATAAAGAAGATTTAATGGGCGGTGTTGGTTTATAATGAAGGCATTAAATTAGGATTAGAGTTATATGCATATTTGATGTATTTCTTTGTAATGGAATGTTATTAATGTGTTGACAATGGTTAATAATGTAATGGTTTTGGATACATGAACTTGAATGATATTTGTAATGAAATTGATTATGAAATCTTGAATCCACATGAATGAATGCCTTGATCTTTTTCTCTTTGTTAATTTTGAACATAAGTTTCCAAACATTCGAACTAATCCCTTCTTTCAAATTGAACTTTAATCTTTTCTTTCCCCTTTTGACAAATTGGATGAAGCTACCTTGTAATGCCTCAATCTTTGCTTGAAATCAGAAGTTCTTACTTGTAACATAAGTAACCAAACAAACCCAACTTTGAATTGATGATTGGAAGTCCAAATGGATCTTGAATTAATGATTTGTGTTCTCACATGAAGGACAACCCCTTAAGGTGAAATGTATTTAAATGAAACCCTAATGAGGATAATTCATTTGAATAAACCCTTTGAATACCATAAGAAATAGGGAAATAAACCCTGAAGATACTTCCTGTTCCCTAGTTTACTAGGATATCATGCCTAAGCCCAAATATTTTGAATGAAGTCTAGTTGACTGACTTTTCACGGGTAATAACAAAACTGTTCCTCATAAGATAGACAAAACTCAAGTTTTTATTAGAGAAGTACCATGATGGCGAAAGGACAAAATTCCTGATGCAAGCAACCTCGATTGGAAACCCCTAATCTCTGACCTTGGAGAAGAAACCTTACCACTTTCTATTGAGAATAGGAGAATAACCTCATAGCTTGGAGAAGAATAAAGTCCACAATAATCATGAACACAAAACCCTAATTCAGGGAACCAATTAGATGGAAGCATGTGATCCATCTTTAGGCAATGAAACTCTGATATCCTGATGATTTATGAGAAATTTGAAAAGATGGAAGACCCTGTATCTTGATGAGAATAACCTTGATGATTGATATCTCAAACTTGTATTGATTGATCACTGTACCTCCTTCTTGATAGGAGAAAACCCTAATTCAACGATGACCTTGTCCCATATCACAAGAAGCAATTCCATGCATGTATGAATGGTAATGAAGCATATGAGCCACTTAGGGTTAAAATTAAGAGGCCATATTTTGGGGTGCAACAACCGTCCCTATTCAATCTTCTTAAACTTGAATGTGAGAAGCGACAACTTTTGAAACGTTCAAGGTAGAAGAGGATTGAATACCAAAAGTACCATAAAATTTGCACTCTTAATGGCACAAAAAGGTATACTAGTGGGTTCTTAGTAATAGGTCTTTTCCGGAAAAGACTACTAATCAGGTAATTAAGTTGAGGTGCCAAACCAGCAATGGCCTGAGGGTTTATCAAATAGGTGATGGTTTCAAAAGAGGCCAAACAAGCAATGGTATTAAGGATTATCAAACAAGTAATGACTCAAAGGATACTAAACCAGCAATGGTCCTAAGGGTTCCAATATGTAGTAGCTTCAAAGGTTCTAAACCATCAATCAATTTGAAGGTTCCTAACAGGTAATGGATTCAGGATTCATAACAGGTATAGGATTCAAAATTCATAACAGGAAAAGGAATTAAGGGTTTCAAACAAGGAATATATCTATAGGTGTCGAACAAGCAATGATTCTAAGGGTGCCAAACAAGTGATGCTCTTGATGAGGTCAAATAAGTAATGGCTCTACTATCAAGAATTAAATAGGTGATGGGTTAAAGGTATGTCAAACAAGCTATGACTCTAAGGATGCTAAACAAGTGATGGACTCGAAAGGATATCAAACATAAAGGGTTCCAAACAAGTAAATGTTCCATAAATTCCTAACAAGTAAAGGATTCAACAGATTCCTAACAGGTAAAGGATCTCTAAGGTTCCAATCAGGTATTAGATTTTGGATAGGGTTAAACAAACATTGGATATATGGATAGACCAAAAAGTATTGGATTTAATGGGGTCAAGCAGGTATTGACTCTTGAGGACCAAACAAGCAATGGTTCTAAGTAGGGCCAGACATGTACTTGATTCGGAGATTCCAAATAGGTAATGGATTTACACGTTCCGAGTAGGTACTTGATAAAAGGGACCAATCAAGCATTGGTTATGAAAAGTGGAAGGGACAAACATGTAATGGATTCAGGATTCCTAATAGGTAAAGGATTCAAAAGAGTTCAAACAAGCAATGAATTCCAGGCTTCCTAACAGGTAAAGGCTCATGGGTTCCAAACAAGTAATGAAACCAAAGGGTGCCAAGTAAGTGATGGACTTAGAAAGGATATTAAACATGAGAAGGTTCCAAACAAGTAATGGTTCCACAAATAAAATACTTCAGAGGTTCTTAATAGGTAAAGTATCTCAGTTCCAAACAAGCAATGGATTCAAGGTTTCGAACATTTCAAACAAGTAATGGGTTCAGACAGGTGATAGTCCCGAACATGTAATGGGTTTAGAATTTGGTTAATAACATGTATGTTTTTTTGTGTGAAAAGGGCGCCAAACTATATATATATGCTATATATATATATATATATATATATATATATATATATATATATATATATATATATATATATATATATATATATATATATATATATATATATATATATATATATATATATATATATATATATATATATATATATATATATGTCTTTTGAGAATTACTCTCTTGGGGATATATCCACTTGAAGGATTTCAGAAAGCCACCTGACTCATGCTTCAATGCATGTTTGAATTTTTCTATGGTGTAATGCCCCATACAATAGAAATGATGCGCGTTTAATTGGATGAAATACCATGATGCATGTTATGATACTTTGCAAGGGGACTGCTGGAAAAGCACGAGACTGCTGAGGAAAGGAATAAGACATTCCAACTCATGTGGGGAATAATAACTGGATACCCATCAAGACATGGATGCCAAATTTTGTGAAGAACATAAACACCTCTCATGATGGGTATATCCCTCTGGTGGGAAATAACACACTGGATATCCATCATGATTGGGACATAAACTCTGGTAAAATTTGAATACTCATCATGATTGGGATACCCCTCTAGCAGGGAATTGAACAAATTTGGCACCCATCATGATTGAGTTATCAACTCATTTGTCTGGTGGGGGAAGGTTGATTTTGACTTCAATCCAATTTCAACTTGCTTGAAGAGAAATCCTATACTCGCACCACTGGGTGTTAGTAACCTGAATACTACTGGGGATGAGAGAACTCTTGTACTGAACTCTCAGAAATGTAACCCCTGGTGGGATAAAAGAATTCTTGAAGTAGAACTCTTACAGACGTGCTTCTGCTGGAGACCAGAGAATTCTTAAACAAGCAATCTAACTATTGAACTCTACTGGGAAATAACTTTCTATGTGGGAAGGGGTGATCTTTCAGACCTCTTGTTGCAAAAAAGAGAACTCTGGCACAAAACTCTTGACAACAATCTTATACTGGTGATGAAAACATCCTTGAAAGGAATTCTCTAACAAATTAGGCTTTTGTTGGAGACGAGGGAATCAAGAAATATTTTTTAACCACCACTGCTGGAGGATGGAAGAGTTCTTAATTACGATACTTCAATAAGAGACTCCACTAGGGGATATTATAACCATAAGCTCGTGCTGGAGAAGCATTCTCTGCTTGGGGATGAAAGAATTCCCGAAAGGACCTTTTAGAAGACCAGCTTCTGCTGAGGAGTGTAAACATATGTGAAGTGCAGACTTTACTGGGGAAAGCACTCTGATTGGGGAGCTGAACTTCCTATCTCCTGCTAACAAAAACAAATCAAGAACATTTCACCGGTAACAACTTTGAGGGTTTTTGCTCTAGTGAGGGCGTATTTCTCATCATGAATGAACGATGATTTCGACAAGACAGATTACACTAATGTGCCCCAGGTATGGTCCATGAAGGAATTTTCTTCGAGATGATCCACTTATCATAACGACTGGAGATGACTTGCCCCACTATCTTCAAGCTCTGAAATATCCTCACTGGTCAATAGATTCTTGAAGAAATTTTTCGAATTTCGACGAAACAGCCCCAAGTCGACTGGACTTTGAGAGATCGAATCTCGACTTGATTGCCCCCGATTGGCTGAACTTTGAGAGATCAAGTCTCTATCTAATTTCCCTGGATTGGCTTCATCTTGACTTATTTCTCCAGATTGGATACACTTGGCATATCCTTTGCTCAACAGATATTTGAAACTCTACCCTTTTGAGGGTGATCAAACTACGAAAGTAACTTTCTTATGATCAATGGAGTTTCTAGGCAACATGCCACTTGATATGATCA